TATCATAGGTGTTGTTGTCGAAGGTTGATTAATGTCAAAATCATTTGATGAAGCTTATGCATCAACTGAAGAGATGGCTAAGAATAATTTTCAATGGCCCTTTGAAAGGGTAATTCAAAATAAAGTAGCCAGTATTCATGATAATATTTCAATGGTTGCATCTTAAATTGCAACATCATCTAGGAAAATAGACCCATTTGGAACGATTTTTCCTCAAACACCTCATTTGATTGAAGAAAATTCATTAAGGCAGATGATCGATTCTCAAACCTCAATAAAAACTTTAAATGTTATTAATAATAAACTTAATAACCCATATTTTAACTATTACAACACAGGTTGGAAAAATCATCCCAATTTTAACTGGAATAAAAATTCAAGTGGTGGAAGTCAATAATGGGGGAACAATCAAGTAAACCCATTGAGAAACTGGAACATCCAGGGTAGTTCTAACTATAAACCTACTTATCCTCATGGATTTAGGAGTAATAAAAATTATGGAGGAGAAGTTGTCTATAGAAGAAGTGGTGTTACAGCTGGAAAATGAATTGCAAAGTCAAAGTGCTGCTATTCGAAACATTGAGAATCAACTGAGACAAATTGCTAAGACACTTAGCAATAGGCCTTAGGGAACACTTCCTAGTAATGATGAAATCAATCTTAAAGAGAAAAATAAAGAACAAGAGCAAGTTAAAGCTGTCCAACTTAGAAGTGGGAGCAAATTAAATATTGGAGTTCAAAAAGATAGTGAAGTTGAGAGAGAAAATAAAGTAACAAAAAAACCTGAAGAAACTATTCCTAAGGAAGTAGAAAGACCACCACCTTTTTTCCTTAAAAACTTTGGTAGCAAAAGTTGGATCAACAATTTTTAAAATTTTTTGAGATATTTAAAAAGCTTACAATTAATATTCCTTTTGCAGAAACTTTGGAACATATGTGAAGTTATGTCAAATTTATGAAAGAAATTTTAAACAATAAAAGGAAGTTCAAAGATTATGAAATTATTTCACTTAGTGAAGAATTTAGTGAAATAATTCAAAAAAAAAAACTTCTTCAAAAACTTAAAAATGCTAGTAACTTCACTATACCTTGTTTGATTGGAGAAATTTTTTTTTAAAAAGCTTTATGTGATTTAAGAGCTAGCATTAATCTCATGTCATTATTAGAAGGTTAGGTTTATGAGAGATTTCTCTCACTACTGCAACCCTGCAGTTAGCTGATCGATCTGATCACCTATCCTAAGAAGGCTATAAAAGACGTGTTAGTTAAAGTAGATAAATTTAATTTTCCTATTTATTTCATTGTGTTAGATATGGAAGAAGATAAAAAAATTTTTATCATTTTAGGAAGAAATTTCCTTATCACCGGACAAGATGATAGATGTACAGAAAGGAGAACTAACCTTAAGAGTTAATGACCATGAAGATACATTTAATGTGCTTAAATAAATGAAGTATCCTGATAAAGGAAAAGTTGGTAAATGTTATATAATGGATATTATTGATTATATGATTGTTAATTATTTAAAAAAAAAAGATGTGAAGTCATAACAGATCAAAAAAAATTGAAGAGTGAAAATGAAATTGATTTTGAAGACAAATCAAATGAGATCATTACTGAGGATTCAAATTATGTTCACAAAATTTTTGAAATTTTAGGTATTACTGAAAATAGTAAACATTTGATTCCTTCAATAGAAAAACCTCCTGAACTTGAAATGAAGATGCTCCTTGCTCCTTTAAAATATGCATTTTGGGGAACTCATTTACAATATCAGTTATAAAATCCTCACACTTTACTGCAAAACATGAAGAAAATTTATTAGAGATAGTGAAAAATCATAAGAAAGCTTTTGGATGGACATTAGCTGATATTAATGGAATTTTCCCTTCAATCTATATGCACATAATTTTGATGGAAGATAAACATAAACTTAACGCAGATCCTCAAAGTAGATTGAACCCTATAATAAAAGAGGTTGTTAAGAAAGAAATTTTCAAGTGGTTGAATGCTAGAATTAATTATCTTATTTCTGACAGTTCTTGAGTTAGTCCTATTCATTGTGTTCCTAAGAAATGGTGAGTGACTATAATTATTAACGAAAGGAATGAATTAATTCCTACAAGTCAAGTCACTTGGTGGTGAATCTATTCTGATTATAAAAAATTAAACCTCACTACTAAAAAGATCATTTTCCTCTACCTTTTCTTCACCAAATGTTGAATCGACTCGCAGGGTATCGTTATTTCTGCTTTTAGGATAGATATTTTGGATACCTCCTAATACCCATAGCTCATGAGGATCAAGAGAAGACAATATTTACTAGTTCATATGCAATATTTGCTTTTAGAAGAATGGCATTTGCATTATGCAATGCACCTCCAATTTTTCAAAGATGTATGGTGTCATTTTTTTGCAATTTAATTGAGAAATGAATTGAAGTTCTTTTGGATGATTTCCTAGTTTTTGGAATCTCTTTCAATTCAAGTTGAGATTGCTTAACAAGAGTTCTAAAATGTTGTGAAGAAACAAATCTTATTCTCAATTAGGAAAATTGACAATTTATTATTGCAGGAAGAATTGTATGAGGACATAAGATTTCTGAAAAATTACATGGAAGTAGATCTAGCAAAAATTCAAGTTATTACTGAATTACCACCTCCTACATCTGTAAGAGGGGTAAAAATTTTTTTGGGACAGGTTAGGTTATATAGGAGTTATATTAAAGATTTTTCAAAAATTGCTAAGTCGCTATGTCAAATTTTACAAAAAGACAAACTTTAATTTTAATGAGGATTGCCTAAATGTCTTTAGATTATTAAAAGAAAAATTATTCACTGCACCTATTATTATTTACCCTTTGAATTAATATGTGATGCAAATGATTATGCTATAGGGATTGTATTCGAGAAAAATTAGTCACTGCACATATTATTGTTTCACTTGATTGAAAAAACCCTTTAAATTAATATGTGATACAAGTGATTATGTTATAAGGATTGTATTAGAGAAAATATATGATAAAATTTTTAAAGTGATATATTATGCTAGTAAAACCCTTATTAAAGCTCAAATTAATTAAACCACTATTGAAAAAGAATTATTAGCTATAGTGTATGTTTTTTATAAATTTAGACCTTATCTTATTGGAACTAAATGTTTTGTGCTTAATGATCATTCTACTATTAAATATTTAATGATGAAGAAGGATGCAAAATCACTATTAATTAGATGGGTTCTTCTAATGCAAGAATTTAATTTTCAGGTAGTGGATTGGAAGGGTACTAATTATCAGATAGCTGATATTTGTAAAGGCTTGAACATGAAAATAATATTAAATTTAATGATGAAGTAAATGAAAATTTTCCAGATGAATTATATGCGATTAATGAATGGCGAATTATGTGATATGCTGATATAGTTAACTAGTTAGTAACATTTCACCATCGGATTAGATAGCCATCAAATGAAAAAGTTTAATCATGATTCAAAATTTTAATTTTGGGACAACCATTAACTATATAAGCAATATAATGACTTAATTATTCGAAGATGTGTACAAATAGAGGAAACCAAAGAAATTATGCGAAAATGTCATTAATTACATTCTGGAGGACATTTTGGGATTGATAAAACTGCATTTAAAGTCTTATAATCTAGATTTTAGTGGTCTACTTTATTTAGGGATGTTAATAATTATACAAAAACTTGTGATTGACATTAGAGAGTAGACAATATTTCTAGAAAAAATGAAATTCCCCTAAATCTTACTTTGAAAGTTGAAATTTTAATGTCTAGGGATTAGGTTTTATTAGATCATTTATACCATCTTCCGAAAAAATTTATATTTTTTTATAGTTGTGGATTATATTTATAAATGAATTGAAGCTACTACTTTACCCCGTTATGATGTTAATAGTGTTACAAAAATTTTAAATGAGAAGGTAGTTATTTTAATAATCCTAATTTTCGTTTAAGATCATTTTTAGTTTTTTTTTTTTTTTTTTTTTGGGGAATATGAGTCGAATTTGAAAATAAACATGTTAAATTATGAATTATGATAGTTATAAAAACAGTGGAAACTTCTTTTAGGTTTTTTTACTATTTTAAAACAGAATGGTATTAATATAAGGGTATAAATATAATTTCGACAGGGATTTCATAAATGAGAACATATTTTGTATTTTGCATTTATCTGAAAATATGTCTGCCATTTCCTTTCATGTTATTTGTACATACCATCTCTTTTTAAGCCATATTATCTGTTATAATTACCTAAAAGAAATTTGAGGCTTCAATTTTTTTTATTGAAAGTTGGTGCACCTAAATTTTAGCTTATGAGACTTCATTGTACATCATTACAATATTGCTCCTACATTACATACAATAACTAAACCGTTGATGGCACTGATGCTAAAAATGAAACAAGACAATTACAATAAATTTGTGGCATTTCATGGAACAGCCAGTCCAGAGTGATGAAACAAACAAGGTGGATCAAAAGTACTCTTTAAATCAATATTATGTTCAAAAGTATGTTCTGAAGAGTAATGGAGCTTCTCAAATAAATCATTTACTTGAAAATACATGAAAAAAAAATATATTACTTTCAAGAGCCCTATAACTCCCGAAAAAGATTGCAGTTTCACAGAAACTCTACAAATGCATATTATATATATTTGTTTGTGTGTGTGTGTGTGTGTGTGTGTGTGTGTGTGTGTGTGTGTGTGTGTGTGTGTGTGTGTGTGTGTGTGTGTGTGTGTGTGTGTGTGTGTGTGTGTGTGTGTGTGTGTGTGTGTTTTTATTTGATACAAAACATACTTGATATAATTGATTAAGATATTGTTATTTTTTAAAACACTCAAAACACCAAAATGTTATTGAGTATTTTAAAAAAAAACTTGTTCATTTGATTTTAGAAACAAAAATAAAACATATAAAAAGCACAACAAATAAATATTGTTTTAAAAACAAAAGAAAAAAAAATAAAATTAATCCCAAACAAGCCCCTAGCAATTACATCAAAAGCCTGGCAGCCCGGAGGCTGAAAAATGTTCCTACTCTAACAATAAATTTACAAAACAAAACTTTAATGAATTCAAAAAAACATACTAAAATACCAAACGAGAAAACAAACTAAAAAATAAAAATAAAAGAAACAGAAAACCCATCTCAACTATAGGCATGAAGCACAAGATAAACCAGGTCTCAAGCTTGGACAACAAGAGAAGAAAAACTAATTGGAAAATCAATATAAACTTGCTGATTTGCAGCACTTAAATTACTTAAATGACAAACAGCAAGCTAATACAAGCTTCTTACCAAAGGAGGAACACCCATTTTTGTTCTCAGTTCTCTTGGATGTTCACCCTCAGATTTCCGACCTTTCTCTGAAGCAAATTTAAGTTATGAATCCCTACAACGGTATTCTGAAACCATCTCTTTAAGCCATGAATGTCCTCTTAAGAATATGATGATGAATCTCAGATCTTCCATAAAGTATAAAATCAGGGAAAAAAATGACTTGAAGAATTTTATGGAGGTCACCTGTGGTTTCATTACTGTACAGTATAGTTTCGAATTCGAACAGCCCTTTCTAAGCCAATGCAAGTTCCTCCTGCTGCTCATAGAGTTGGCCTTCTTGGTAAGGATTGAGGACTCGTCTAATTTCTTCGGAATTGAGTGTTTCATACTCCAGTAATGCATTTGCAAGAGCATGCAGCGCATTTTCGTGCTGTAAAAGGATTTTTAAATTTAAACCAAGTGAGAAAGAACATGAGTCCAAGAGATGAAAGAAAGATGTTAGATGGAATACAATCAGAGAAAAATTAAGGCAAGAAAAGTGTTAAAATTGTCCCTGATTTTTCGCAGGGAGTTAATTTAGTACCAAAGTTCATAAAAATGTCAATTTAGTCTCCTCACTTTTTTATAATGGGTTAAAATAGTCGATAGTGAGAACTATTTTAGCCCCCATTAAACTTAGCACTTTAATAACTGTGGGACTTAAATGATCCCATTTAAATAGTGAAGGAACGATTTTCACACTTTACTCGATTTAAGATATTAATCTTGGAATAAAAGGATATGAACAAAGAAATTCAACAAAATGAAAGGACTTTGGAACTGGTCTGATAGGTCGTATCTTGATATTAACTAATCAAATATGAGATTCATGGTTTAAGAAGCAAATGTGTCATGAAAAAAGGCATGCAAAGTCAAAGAACATGTATAAATGGATTCAATCTTAAAGTCGACACTTACATACCAGGATTTAACCTAATTTCCCATCATAAATAATTTATATGCTGAAATGATTTACATTGCATTTAAATGACGACAATCTTCAAACAAGATTAACAACTTCAATATGCTGTTTCACATGTTTATCATTCAAGTTATCGAAGATGTGATGAAATTTAGTATAGAATTACAGGCATAATCAAATTTAAGAACCCGTTTGGCATCACTATTGTTCCCTACTTTTTAATTTTATTTTTTTATTTTGTTTTTAAATAACATGATTGGTTGGTATAATTTTGATATATATTTTTTTCTTATTTTTAAAAACACTTAAACTAAAGATGTTTTGAGTGTTTTTAAAAATATGTTCTAATTTTTAAAAAAAAAAAAGAGAACAAAATAATAATTTAAAAAAAATTACAAAAAAAAAAAATCACAAATAGCCCCTCATTGGAAATTGAAACACAGTAAATCAACAGCAGCAGTTTATGCAGGGGTTTTTGATAAGTAGGAGAAGCTGCAATAACCTGAACCATCTCGTCAGAAGCTAATAATAAGTTAGTTACTGCAATACTCCAAAGTGAAATGCTTACTTCGGCTGCATAGGCGCCGTTTGAGATCAATTTATTTTCCTATTTTACTTTAAATTTATTTTATTTTCATTATATCCTTAATTGGGATCACTCATTGTTTTTAAAGACAAAAAGTAGCGCAAGCATGACAGAACTACAAACAATTCAACGTGCATAATTTAAATGTTAAATTCAGAATCAGTAAGTTTTAGTTGATGGGTAGACAAAGATTCGTATTCTCAGCTTTAATTTCTTTCTCATCGCTTGAGTTCAAATTTCAGTAATTTCAATAACTTTGATTATTTCAAATGAGCTTTTCTTCTATATAACAGACAACAGCAAATTTTAAAAAATAATTGACTTTGAGGTAAGACAGTGCTCTAATCCAAAAGGAAACGGGTATTTTTCTCTGCAAATTGCAATGAAGTCTACTTGTTTCTAATCACTAATATAATTTAGGCCAAATATAATAGCAATAATGATAGAGCACTAAAGCCAAGGAAAGCAAAAGAAGACCACGATCTATTAGATGTGGAGTCTACTTTCCCCAAAAGAAATAATTAGAATAAGACCGATGATGATCCTACCTATTACAAATTGCTTCCTAACATTTCTAAAAAAATAGAAAAATGATGTAAAGAAAAAATAACAATAGTTATTGTGGTGGACAATATCATGCTAAAGCCAAATAAACATGGCACCAATTGATATGAAAAGTTTCCCTCCAATATGGACTTGTGAGAGTTGTCGTCCACCATACAGATACAAATCAAGCAAGAGATAACCTAAGTCTTATCAACGTTCGTAGCCAGAAGAATCTAATCTATCAAACAAGTGGGAAAATTAGGATAGAACGACATACTTTATTCCAATTCTTACTTTTTGACATGAATTAAGAAGTGGCCTGAACTGAAGAATTATTACTAGTGTTGTTTTATATTTGCAATAATCACAGACTAAATCGAGGAGATGGTATGAAAGGAAGTTGGTTGGTTTCACTTAACATCAATCAAGTCAACATTGATCAATCACACTTTCATGATAGGTATGCAGAAGTTCGCCTCCAATATGGACTTGTGAGAGTTGTCTTCCACCATACAGATACAAATCGAGCATGAGATAACCTAAATCTTATCAACATTCGTAGCCAGAAAAATCTCATCTATCAATCAAGTGGAAAAATTACAATAGAACGACATACTTTATTCCAATTCTTACTTTTTGACATGAATAAAGAAGTGGCCAGAACTGAAGAATTATTACTGTTGTTGTTTTATATTTGCAATAAGAAGAATCTAATCTATCAATTAAGTGGAAAAATTACAATAGAACGACATACTTTATTCCAATTCTTACTTTTTGACATGAATAAAGAAGTGGCCAGAACTGAAGAATTATTACTGTTGTTGTTTTATATTTGCAATAAGAAGAATCTAATCTATCAATTAAGTGGAAAAATTACAATAGAACGACATACTTTATTCCAATTCTTACTGTTTGACATGAATAAAGAAGTGGCCAGAACTGAAGAATTATTACTGTTGTTGTTTTATATTTGCAATAAGAAGAATCTAATCTATCAATTAAGTGGAAAAATTACAATAGAACGACATACTTTATTCCAATTCTTACTTTTTGACATGAATAAAGAAGTGGCCAGAACTGAAGAATTATTACTGTTGTTGTTTTATATTTGCAATAATCACAGACTAAATCGAGGAGATGGTATGAAAGGAAGTTGGTTGGTTTCACTTAACATCAATCAAGTCAACATTGATCAATCACACCTTCAGGATAGGTATGCAGTACTGCAATGACAACTTTAACAATGTCAACTCACGAAGAAAGAAGATACAATTCTACAGCAAAAACTAGTGCCAATGGTAAACACAATAATAGTATGGCAAGTAAATAAACTTATCAATTTATACTAAAAATTTCTATCCATGTTGATCGGCCCTTTGACTATTAAAAAAAAGATGATAAGTAGCATACAGATGTATAATTTGTTTGAGGAGCAAGTTATAAACCCCATCTATAACATGCTGATATCAAATTCACAAAGGTCAAAACAGTCAAAGAGTGGACAAGTTGCACAATGATGTCCCTCTACTACCCAAAGGAATCCAAAGAGAATAATTGTCTTCCAAATGGGTAATGGAATAAGAGTTGTTAAAATGTGAAAAAGCTTCAATTACTATAAGAGTTTCAAAAGCCGCCATATTGGCAATTCAAGTAAAAAAAAATTAATGCCACATCCATTTTGGGATGCTAAATAATGAGAAATTACTAGAGGTCAAAAACTGACCCGACAAGCCAAATCAACCCGAACGCGGTCGAAAAATTTAAGTTTATTTTGACCCGATTAATTTTAAGTCAAATTCGGATCCAAATCTCAATATGCATAATATTTCAAGTCCGATTCAGGTTAACCTACCAACACAAAGTCGAGCCATCAAATAGAATTTGACACAAACAAAGCACGCCAACTCAAAATTAACTCAATCTTGACTCAAAATTGCAAAAAATTGACCCAAATAATTGTTATGCATATATTAAACCGATTACGCGGGTCCGCTTCAAGTCAATTGGGTTCGGGTCAGACTTTTGAATAATTAAATATTCAATTCAGGTTCAAATCGAGTAGTTTTGGTTACGGTTCAAGCCAACCAATTTCGGGTCGAATTCAGTCATAACCAAACCTGGCCCATGAAACTGATTTGCCTCGAGATATTACGTTAGATCAAAACAAGTAGTGCGTTGAAGCTCTAAATTTGACTATTTACAGAAGACAACGAAGATCAAATGCTACCAACACTTCTTGAGAAAAAGAACTTAATGCAAAATTTTTCAAAGGAAGTTTATACAATCTCCAAGAAACTTCATGAAGATCAGTTATCAAACAAAGTGGTAAGTTGTTAGCTTTACCTCATATGGAGATCCAAATTTCAGATAAGTAAATTCCTCCTAAAAAGGGGCCCATGATCTCATGATCATAACATGAAGGGATCATAAAACTTATCATCTATTCCAAGGAAGTCCATAAAACAAACTACACTTACATGGGGTTGACTACGTGAATCTTTTTTCTCCATTGTGTCCTATTGAGTGTCATATTTTCATTTACTCAAACAAATTAAGAGCATTTTTTAAACAGCATTCCCAAGAAATTTTAGGTCTACCTCTAACTTTCCTTATCATGAGTCAAATCTAAAAGACCTACTCTCCTGATTGGGTCATATATGATTGATATTTAATATGACCAAACTATCTAAGTCAACTATCTCTAATCTTACCTACCACTGAAGCTACTCCAACCCTTTCACAGGTATATTTATTTCGCATTTTGTCTCTTAGTTTAAATCCACTCATCCACCTTAGCATTCTCATCTCAATAACACTTAATTTATGCTTCTCTTTTACAGGCCAACATTCTCCGCCATAAAGTTTTGCAAGTCTCACCACCATCTTATAAAATTTCTTTAAGTCTAAACGGTGTTTTTCTATCACATAATAGCCCTGATGTATTCCTCCACTTCAACCATCCAACTTGGATTCTATTAATAAAATCCCAACTAGATCACCATCACTTTGAACAATAGACCCAAGATGTTAAAACATTCACTCCTTTTAATTACGATCACCCATTCTTACAACCCCACCACTAATACTACTACTACTGAAACTAAATTTCATGTATTAGGTTTCAGATAAAAACAAACCAAAGCTTTTAGACTCTAAAGTTAAACTCGATAATTCAAGTTTTTCCTGAACATTGTCTAGTTTTATTCATAAGAAGCATATCATGAGTGAAAAACATATACCAAGGTACATCCTCTTGTAAATGTCCAACAAGAGCATCTATAACTAAAGCAAAGAAAAAAAAAACATGGGCTTAAAACCAATCCTTTATATAATCCAATTGAAATAGAAAAAAATATTTGGTCAATCCTCCTTGTATTCAAAAAAAAAAGTAACAACTCTAATATATATATATTTAATGACTTGAATATAAATAATATCGGCATTTTTCTTTTCTAGAACTCTTCAAAATACTTCCCTTAGAACTTTATCATAAGCTTTTTTCTAATTCAGCAAAAATTTGAAAGCAAAACCTTCCCTATGCACTTTTTCACCAAACCTCTTAATAAATGTATAGCTTCTCTATTAGAATTGGCCGACATGAATTTAAACTGATTTTGTTAAATTTCCGTATTACGTCGTGACCTATGTTCAATTACTCATAACATTACTTTAATGACATAATAACCTAATTCCTCTATAATTTGCACCCTTTCGAATATTTTTATTCTTAAAAAAATATAAACTAATAGGCGCTTTCTCTACTTATCACGCAAATTTTTAGTTTTTAAAAAAATATTAAAAAATTAGTAATCCAATAAATTTCTAGCTCTCCTAAATATTTTTATACATCTATTAGAATACCATCTGGTCCTACTATTTCACGCTTCATTTTTTTGAAAACCTTCTTAACTCTGTTTTTACTACTGTGATGGTAAGAAAAAAAATTATTATTATTTATGTTATTAAAAATACTAAAGTAGATTGTATTTTTAGATTTTTCATTAAAAATTTTATCAAAATATCTCACCTATCTATGTTAAATATCTTAATCTACGAGAATCACTTTTTTTAGTTTCTTCCTTAATACACTTAAATTAAACTAAATCATTATTTTTCATCTCTCTTTGCTTGGCTAATATATATATATATATGTATATATATATACACATATATATATATATATATATATATAAATATCCCCACTTTAGTATCTAATCTTATTATAAAGATCACTTAAAAGCAAGATTTTAAACATCCTAAATTATTCTCATAGACTCTCTATGGGTCGCCTTAAATTTTTTTTTATTCTCTTAGTTTTTATGTTTGAACTAATTTTTATAAAAAAAATTTATTTTTTATATTTTCTTGCATATTGTTATTCTACCACCAACTATTTTTATTCATCAAAGTTTTTTCTTTTCATTTGCCAAGCACATTTTTTGTAACTTTCATGATAGTATCGTTATTTTATTTCACATAGCATTAGTTTCTTCATGAACGTGAAAATCATAAGATCATGAAGTTCAGTCCGAAAAATATTTGTATGTCTTTTAAATATCATCATCAAATTTTATAATAATATGTCACTATATTTTTCATCTTACACCCCTTCCTCTTAAAATCAAAAACAAAAAATCCATGTAAGGGGTATTTATATTATCACTTGGAACGATCTTACGATCTTACAATCTCGACGATCAATTTTTTTTATAAGAAAATAATCAAATTATTTTTTATTGAATTCAATCTTATAAGGGACATTATGCTCATCTTTTTTCTTAAATAAAATATTAACACTAACAAGATTATAAGCTAAAGTAAAATCCAATATTACTCTACATTCTTCAATTGTCATTTCAAAACCAAAGCCACGATGAATATTTCTAAATTTTTTTACCATTCTACCAAGAAGTCCATTTAAATCTCCTACAATAAAAATTTTCTTTAATAAACATCATTTGTATTAATTCTTCTAAGTTATTCCAAAATTTTTCTTTTAAGCATATATCCAAACCTTAGAGATCTTAGTATCAACAACAATCCATAGACTTTTAATTATATCTATATATCTATTAATTTTTATAGCATTATCTTTCAAACACTTATCTATAATTACCCATACACCATTTCTACTATGAATCTTACTTGAATACAAAAAGTTAAAATCTAAGCTATCAATCTCCTTAATTTTTGCTCACACCCATTTAGTTTTTTGAATGCATAATATACTTATCTTCCTATTAACTATAATATCTACTAATTTTATAAATTTGCCTGTGTGAGTGCATATATTCTTGATTTTTATCCTAATATTACTTTTGTGAACGAACTTCTTTTCCCGCATCCATCCATAATGTGGAACTTTTATTTATTTAACACAGCACTCAGGAGCTGGTGCAACGGTCATTGTACATGTTTCACTGTATTCAGGTCAAATGGTGTGTCGTTTCAAGAAAACCCTAACATTGCACAATAATATAAAGGTTCATGTCATAATTTTTCAACAAAAATGTTTACACTAATTGTCGACTACCTAACGTAACCCTCCACTTTTCTCATCCAGGGCTTGGGATCCCACAGTGACAATGTTAGAATGTTGTTGATACTAAAATTGGATTAAATTTTAGATTGTAATAGATAAGGATGAGTTACAAAAAATTTTGTATTTGAATTTTAAAATCTGGATTAGAATAAATCTTGAAGTAGTTATCTTAAAGTATGATGCTTTCGAGTAAGTTAATTGAAGATATGGGTGCTGCAATTGTAGGTTAATTCAGAAATTAGTTTTCTCCTAGTATGGAGATAATTTAAGATAGATAACATTTGCTTTTAAATTAATTCTTACCATAATTTTGCCTGAAAATAGACTTCAAATCCAGCAATAAAATACAATCATGTGAGAATTCAGTCAAAAGGCCTTCTGTCCACTCCAAATCCTACAGCAACGGTAATATCTAAAATAAAATAATTATCCCTTCCACAATTTCTCCCATCTGAGGTTCTCCAGCATTGGGGAAATGCAAACTAGAAAACAAATACGGGTTGCAATTTACAAAAATCAAAAACACAAGAAACAGGAGCTGCCTGTTGTCCAGCACGAAAAACATCCAAAAACCAAAGGAAAGTTGCTGTGAACAGCAAGAAGATGGCATAATCTGAAGGGAAAATTCACACACAACATTAAACAGCGCTCAAGGTAGCTTTAATTGATTGATAAATAAATAGGTTTCCTCTAGAAAAATCATTAAAGCCCTTCAGAATTAGTTCAAGTCTCCTACTATGGACTTGCATCATAATGTTAAGTCAGTTGGCTAAGAATCAAGAAATTTTAAGCATTTTTCTAACAAGTAATAAAATACTTGCGATTAAAAGGAAATAAAAAAAAAACCCTGAAACAGCCACATAATTTTTACTTAATTATCAAATAACCCTCCTATGATTCTCTAAAGGTACTTTCTTACTTCAAAGCCTATAATCAGCTTGTAGCAAAATTTTTCAAGTATCATTTAGAATTACTCAGCTTTTGCGGACATTTAATGAAGATCCAAACATGATAAGTTTTGTACACTCTTCCTCAACTTTAAAGTCTCCCTTCTAAATTATATGAGATAAAAATTTTGCCCCACTTCCTACATCAAAATATCAGGTTCTTCGCAAGAAAACTTCCTCCAATAATTTAGCCTTACTCGGCTTTTTCAATCATTTAACAAAAGCCCGCAGAAGTTAATCACGATTCTACTACTTTAAAAGCACACAGCCATAGAGTACATGACCCCTCAAAAAGTCATATTACTAGCTCGAAATCAAATAACATCAATTATTCTGAAAACTGCATTGCCTATCATTTTCACAACCGACTCCCTGATAATTTCAGAAAATAAATTAAGTCTGTGAGTCACTTTCACTTTAATCTTCTGCTACACGTTCTAATCAACTAATGGCCTCCAACTTTGATCATATAGTTTAACTATTTGTTCTCAGCAATATTGCTACGATCTTCTCTTAATAACCAAAAAAGTATCAACTATGATAAATATCTGCATGATAACTCAGTAAAATTCATTAGATTCCCTCCTCCAAACATTCTGATGAGACATGAAAATAACCTCATTCTGACGAGACATGAAAATAAACTCGCCTTCAAAAATATCCTAGCCACACAATATATTTAGCATAAGAGTAACCATTATGTTACTCGCATCAAATCCAAAGAATAATTAGAGCAGGTCAAGACAAACGTAGGCGGAAATTGTTTCTCATTGAGTTGCCCACCTCTACTTGCATCATTGCTTGACCCTAGGGAGGTGAAGGGTGACAATAATAGTGTTCATAATTATGCCACAACCAACTACCACACAAACATAAGTTATGCGACACAAAAAATAAATGAACTCAAAAATGCAATATTCTCAACCAAGAAAGGTAATGTATTATGAACTCAAAAATGCAACATTCTCAACCAAGAAAGGTTAAGTATTATGAAGGTAAACGTGAGCAAAAATTATTAGAAAAATGATTTGATAGAAATACCTTCTTTAGTAGCTGCTTGACACGTTCATAAGCTTCTCTCAGGACATTCACAACCTGAATTTTGTAATATGCATTTCAGACACTAGAACAACCAAAATTACAGATTTACTTCACAGTACGTACTTCTGCATCGATTCGCGACTGCATCTCTGATCCTGGCCGTTCTTTAATATGTACTGGGCCAATTGCATCACTCATCCCACATGATGAAATCTGAAATTTAAGTGCGAGTCTTTTAAATGAAAGAAATTTAAACTCTGGTCAGATTTATAATTACGTGGTGTGCAAAACCTTTACCATATATTGAGCAAGCTCCGTGGCCGTATGTAAGTCATTGCTTGCACCAGTTGTTATATACTCTTTGCCAAATATAAGTTCCTCGGCAACTCTCCCACCCATACATACATCAAGACGAGCTAACAACTGTTTCTTGCTTATCGAAGTTTCGTCTTGAGAAGGAAGCTGCATGACCATACCTAAGGCAGACCCTCGGGGAACTATGGTTGCTTTGTGAATAGGATGTGCACCCTCAGTATTGAAGGCAACAATAGCATGTCCACTCTCATGGTATGCCGTGAGCTTAAAAAACAAATGCAACTCTGGATTAGCTTAATGTGTAATGAAGAAATATCAGGAAATTTACAATGTACATATCTAACACCAAAAGTTTGATACTTACGCTTAAAACACCTTGGGATCATAAAGCAACGCATGAAAAGGTGTATTTCACTTTTAAAAAGATAATAATAATAGTGATATTTTTTATGTGATGTTAAGGATAAGAGTGGTATGCATGTAAATATGAATGTTTAGGTGTTAGATATGTGAATACATGATTGTATATGTATATGTCTCAAAAATATTTGGAAGCTTCACATACATACCACTTAATTTGTATGTATTCACATATCGAAACCCTTAATTTTAATTTTTACATATATGCAACCTTATCTATGCATGAAAAGGTGTATTTCAGTTTTTAAAAGTAGAAATATTGGTATTTTTATGTAATATAAAAGATTTGGATAGTATAAATGTAAACAGTAAAGTATAGGCGTTAAATATGCAATACATGTAAGTAAATGCCTCAAAATATTTTATGCTGGTAGAATTTTAGGATAGAAAAGAGTGAAAGAAAGATAAAACAGCATACTATATAATTACCTTCTTCGAGTCCTCGGATAAGTACATCGTTTTACGCTCAGTGCCCATAATTATCCTGTCTTTTGCAAATTCCAACTGTGCATAAGTTAACTTGTCGGCGCCTTCTACAGCCGCCTTAATGGCAGCAATATTGACAAGGTTTGCAAGATCTACAAATAAATGAAATAAAAGGCCTAATAATAATTCTCTAATGGATTAATTTGAAAAACATTTTGGAACATTTAGTGTAAGGAAATAATATAGAGCAAACCTGCACCATTGAAACCAGGCGTACCACGAGCAAGAGCTTTAACATCCACATCATCAGCCAAAGGTTTTTCATGCAAATACAGCTCCAAAATCTCTTGCCTACCCCGTATATCCGGACTAGGAACAACAATCTAAAGAACCTCTTTCTTTTAGTGACGAGATTAATTATGCATGGTGGAGGGGTTTTATGGTATTTCAAACTTAGAAAACCTATAAAAACGGACTAATTAAAGGTCCAACTGAGCTATAAATGCAAAAAAGACTAATATACAGATAAATAGATTGGAAATCATGCCATAACCAAGTTAATGAAGTTTAGAGTTAAAATATCCATACATTACGTTCATCTGGATGAGTTGAATATCGAAAGATTTACACACATGCCACTCAATTCTTCTGCATTTAGATATCTAACACCTATAATTCAATTTATTATATACATACCAGATGAAAATGTGTATTTCACTTTATAGAAGTTAAAATTGTCAAAGATTTGGGTGGTATAAATTAAAAAAGTAAAATTTAGGTGTTAGATCTGTAGATGTATATATCTTGAATGGTATGCGTGTAAATGTCCCTTCAATAAAATGTGTAAGAGGACTTACATGTCTATCGAATCTACCAGGTCTTGTCAAAGCTGGATCAAGAATTTCTGGCAAATTTGTTGCAGCCATCAATATTATGCCCTAAGTGGAAATGCTACTGTGAGAGAGTTAATAAAAATAATTACAAAAAACAAGAGCATAATTATAACACACATCATTTTGCTCAAACCCATCCATTTCAACAAGCAGTTGATGCAAAGTCTTTTTAGTATGTCCTTCCCATTGTTTTCTGGTAGATCCAACAGCATCAATTTCATCAATAAAAATGATACAAGGCGCCTATGAATAACATGTGAAAGAAGCAAGAAACAGAGATTTGTCAGAAATTCAATAAACTAATAAGAAATGGATTTCATGATTAAGATAACAAGTGATACAGTCAAGCAGAGTACGGAATCAAATAGATGAAAAAAAAAAACAGAAGATATCCATATTTTCAGGTCCACAGCTTAATCATGGACATCATTGCTTTATCACAATGAGATGGAATGTTTAGGAATAGGACATTAAGAGCAGTTGCCAGAAAAGAAAAGGTTTGTCCAGCCCGTTTTACACAATTTAGACTGCAGAGTCACCATTTCTCATACATAATGGATTTAGAATTATAACTTAGGGTCTATTCATAATAGTTTTTCCACAACTTAGATTTCATGAGACTGGCTGCAACTTCCAGTTGTTTTTTAGAAGTTTTTATAAGGAAAGCAAATTTACAACCAAGTATGCTAGAGGGTATTAGCTATTAGTAAGATGTCCTATTATTTTAAAAGAAAAAAAATTATAATTCACACAAAAACTTATAAAAAATTTATTTTTATTAAAATAGCTAATAAAACTACTTTACAAACAACTATTACCACCCCAATTAATAATTATTTAAAAAAATCTATTTAAAAAAATGAACCATCAAGCCTTAACCAGAAGCATTGGAAGATTTGTTGTTGTTCTTCAACTTTCTTCAAACGAGTAAACATCTTCAAAAACATGGTGAAATTCAAAATTTTGAAAAAACTTTTACTTTTTCGCAGAAGAAAAAAAAACATAATGATGAAACTCCATAGTAAAAACTGGGTTCAATCTCTTCATAACTTTTTAAATATGCAACCTGACGCAGTGACTAAACCTATGAAAGGTTTGCTTGGAGACGCTTTCTCAATGCTTTATTCTTCAGACCAATCAGTTTGGCAACCACTTTTTTCTTAATTTTTTTAAAAATTTTAGCAGTGTGAAGTTGCTTTTGAAAACCAAATCTACTAAAATATAATAAATGTAAGAAAATTGGTCTTATATTCTCAAAAGATAAAATATTAATAATACCCACAATAACTTTCAAAAAGTTATTTTCCTCACAATAATTTTACAACCATCTTTACAAAAAATTACATTCGCCCCAAAATAATAAACCTTGAGAATCATTTCTCTATCCTATAGAATTACTAAATAGAGGAAGGATGGAGTGCCATATGCATAAGGCTCCCACCAACCATGATGCCCATAGTTTTAACCCATTTACAACTTATGGGAGCATTTAACATACAAAGTAAATATTTAGGGTGGATCTAAGAGCAATGGAAAGATTCCACCTTTCTAGGAGGGTAATGACACTAAACTACAGAAAACAGCTAATCTTACATGTTCATCGCAAAGACATTGTATCCCTACTAAAATAAAAAGTTTTCAGAGCGCTTATATAGCAACAGTATTTAAAAGCATTGTCAAAAGGACTTATAACACTGGAATTTTATGGCATATGACAGTCGTGTTTATAACTGTTGTGATAGGACATAAAGTACTCTTATAAATCATTAATTGATTAAAATAATAAAATTAACAATCAAAAAGAGGAATATTATTTCACATCATATTGGTTTTTGAGATGTGCATCGGGATGTATTTTATTAGAATTTCCCCGGTGTGGAGGGAAGCCAAGAGATTTATTTAGAGAGGGTTTGAGTTTATGGTTTTAGGGTTTTACTTTGTAGCTTTTCTTTTTGTATCCAATATACCTACCTGCACCTATTGTCACTTTCACTTTTACTGTGAGAGATTAGTTTCGCAATGCAGTTTATATGAGTTGTTTCCTTCATATTTAGTGTAAAATAAATAAATATATATATATA